AGAGACAAACTATTATTGTGGAGATATATATATATATATATATATATTGACTATATGTGACGGCATCATGCGAATCGCTGCAATAAATCCGCAAAACACGTACAAGTTACGTGACAGACTTAAACGCGATTCATTTGCGAGCTGAATCTTCGTTCATTCAAAAGCCTTCATTATGATAGGGATTAAATTCTCGCATTCTCGTACAGCTGCGTCTACCTTGATTAAAGCAAATTAAAGCACATCTCGTTTGAGAGATAAAAACGCATTGTCGGTCGCAATAATTTAATTAAAACTTTGCGAAACGTGTAATTTATATAAATAATTTATTTTCAAACAAAGTTTTATTCCGGAAACTATCATGAATACTGATTTTCAAAGAATTTATAGAAAAGATTCTACTTTAATCACTAAAATAATTAATTTTTCTTCTGATAAATAAAGATTTTGGAGAAAGCGCCTTAATTGATTTTCAATACTCTTGCAATCGTTATTGTTTCAGCGAATTCTTTAGCTATTTATAAGCTATTTCGTTTAAATATATATTTTACAGCTGTTTTATTTAAATATATATTTAACATTTCTTTGAATAATCTTTGATTAATTTTTATTAACATTTTATATGAGAAAGCTAATTTTCTTGTCACATTTTGGATTTATATATATATATATATATATATATATATATGTGTGTGTATGTGTATATACATTTTTGACGAGCATCACAAACAAAATGGCTAATTCATGAATTCGAGAAACAGTATGTTTGACAAGGAAGAAAGAAAAGTATTTGCAGCTGCGTTTGATTCTGCTTCCTCGTCGTCAAAGCGTTCTCTAGGTTTCCATGAAATCCTCAGTTCGTCGGCCGTGTAATTATTGTATGACAAACGTCAATAGCTTCGGCAAATATCAACCTTATTGTAAACTTGTGAATTCCTACGTATAAGCGTGAAAATTTCTTTCGCGGAATTCAACGTTTTTGAAACAATATATCCTAAGCGAGAAGAAATGTCTCACTATTTCAAAGTTCAAGCGAATATTATTATTATTATTATAAATTAGAATAAAATTTATAATAATTCGCTTGACGAACTTCGGAATAGCAAGATATTTCTTCTCGTTTTGAATATATAAGTTTCAAAAACGTTGAATTCCGAGAGAGAGAAATTTTCACGTTCACATAGGAATTCCCAAGTTACAACATTGCTGTAATACTAGAATGTTTCAAAATGTTTCTTGCTTATTAGGAATGGAATCTCATTTTCGATAAAAATTCTACCAATGTTTCATTAATATGCTTTCTAGATTTATTATTAATATCTGAATGTCTATGTAATGTGTATAAATTTAGACAGAAAAAATAAGATTTTTCATTATAAATTTTAACTGGAAAAGCGCGAGTGTTGATTAAAGACTGTCCAAGATCTGTGAAAAATTTGAAAATAAGTGACGAAAACGGAACTAAAAAATTTTTGACTCTGATTTCCATGCAAAGAGCCAAGACATTTAAAAAATTCGTTGATGAAATCTATTGAAAATAATTGAATAGAATTATTAGACTTAAAAGTATAAAGCTAAATTCCAAAATTCCCGCCTTATTAAAAAAGACAGAAATGATAATAGCAATATGATAAATATTGACAATTAGATATTCAACTAAAAGTTGTTTGCAATTATTTTCCTGTAACTTACGGTATGTTATTATTTATTTCACAAATTTTCGCAGCGTTCCGTCAAGGCAACATATGAGATATTGCAGGTATGCAACAGGTAATCGCGAGTGACCATCAGGAATCCTTGGTCGGGAAAACTCACCGTGACGCACGTGACGAAGAGGTCGAGCTTCATTCTGTCTTAGCGATTCTATCGTCCCGGAAGCGCGAAACGCGACGCGACGAGGCGCGCGCCGGTCACGTCGATTCAGAAACCTCGTGTGTGTCCGTTATACTGCAATGTCGTCAAGGATCGGCATAGCACACCTTGGTACACGAAAGCGTTGCGTTCTCCTTTGCAAAGTGTCAAGTTTCCTTCGTCCTTCTTCAAAGCTGAAAATAAATAAAATTTGAACAGAAGTAAAATTTGAAGTTTCTGCAAAGGAATAAAATTCTCAATTAACAGAGCCAAAAAGAAATTAATGGAAAAAATATTAAACATGTCTTATAAAATGCTGGATTAATTACTCTTTTGAAATCCCAGATGTGAAACCTTTTTATCTATTTATCTATTTATAATTGATAATGTAAACAATATAAAGGTTTGTTGTTCCATCTTTGAATAAATTATGTGATAATTTATCTAATGAACAAAAGAAAAAGTGAGAGAGAGAGAGCGAAAGAGAGAAAGAGAACGAGAACAAATAAGCTGAAATTTATCGAAAGGTGGAACAATCTAGCCTTAATCATACATGAATAAATAAAATATCTGAATAAATAATAAAATATTTTTGCAAAAAATGTAAAAGATAAAGAAACAGTATAAAAGAAACAGCTAGATCTACAAATTTAATCCTAATTACAATAAATCTACATCGTAGATAAATCATCAAATGATCAGAGACTGAAACCGGCAAAATTCGATACTAGGCACACCTTTTTAAATAAAAATGCATTGATATACACAAAACATTTTCTTTAAGAGAGACGTGTTAAATGTAAATGCATATCCTGTGTGTGTGTCGCATTTAAAATAACGTTAAAATTCAAACTCACCGTAGCTGTTCCGATACCAGTCAACACTAGCTTAAATGTTGCCGACTGTCTGCATCGCGATCTCGAGGAAGACTCGCGGAAGACCAAGAATGAACGATGATAACGCGGACCGTTCCGTTCCTCGCGTTATTTGTTAAGAGGCCAAAGGTTGCCTCTTCTACCATCGGTATTTGTGTATTCAACACTGACAGAATGTGCCATGCACAGGTTGCGTACTTAGTCTTCTCTCGTTCTACCGTCACTTCGATCGCTCGGACTTCGTCTGGCTATCATTCTCCCACTCTCCCTTCATTTGTCCACCACGTCGATCTCCTTCTGTAGATTGTATTTAAATGCAGATCACGCCGCTATCTCTACAATTCGAATGAGAAGTTTGGTCGAAGCGATTCGTACAGAAACATCCAATCTTTTCGACACAATTTGGCAAAAGAATAATGCTTGAAGTTGAAAAATCAGTTGATTTTTAATGTTATATGCGCATCATTTTAAATATCCAATATTATATGTGGATTATTTCACACATATCTTCTATTTTATCTTCGATTCATACTTTAATGAAGCGATAATCTCAATTTTAACATAGTTTTATATATAGATGGTAATAATTATTGATTAACCTATATGTGTAGAAAGTCGGTGACTTATATTGTATATGTTCATTATATTGATATTCAAGAGTATCGATCTACCTGCCAAGCTAGCAAAGGCATACATTAGTGAAGAAATTATTGCAAATCGTACATCATCGTACATATTAATAATAATTTATACTGCACAAATATATCATTTACACTATATAAAATTTACACTATATACTTTGGAATTTGAGGTCTTTATTAAATGAACTTCACTGAATATTAATGTCGATACTATCGTGCTCGAATCCTGCATAAATTATCAACCGTTGTGTGGGCTATTATAGAATCATTTATGTCAAAACATGAAGACGGAAAGTCCAAAGACTAACGCTATCAATGTACTTTCCTCATTAATAAAACAGTAGCACTTAAGAAAATTGAAATGATAATTATGAAGCTTTGAACATGTTAATTTCATAACTAGAAATCTATATATTACAGTATACTATTACAGTATACATATATACATACACATATATATTTTGTCTGCGCGCGTGCGTGTGTGTGTGCGTGTGTGCGTGTGTGCGTGCGTGTGTGCGTGCGTGTGTGTGTGTGTGTGCGCGCGCGCGCGCGTGTGTAGACAGTATTTTAGTTGAAAACATTCCTCCACCGGTTAAATATTATGTAAAAATTTGAAACAAGTTCTATTTCTGCTTAAAATTCAGTAACAGGCTAATTCGGCATTATTAAAAGTAATTTGAATGATTCTTCATTTAAATTTATTCTTTTTATTCTTGCAATAATAAAAATCAAATTTCAATTTTCAATTTCAAATTTCCAGTTCATTCAAAATAATTCGTAAGAGAGAGAAAACAAGGAAAAAGTATATAAGCAAATGCTTGAAAAATTATTAAGAAATCGTACTTACAAAACAAGGAAAAATGCAAAATATATACGGATGATTGAACGTGAAATCTCTATAATTATTTAGTGAGTTTTTTCAAGAAAGTAATAGTCTCTTCGATGAACACGCCCGAAAACTTTTTTCAATTGTCGCATATATAATATTATATAACAAAAGAAGAGTCAAAGTGAGTATTATTCTGTAAAATTCGATTTAAATAATTGAAATATTTTTTTATATTTAAAATATTTTTTATATTTAAAAAATTTGCCTGCAAAATAAAAAGAAAGTTATTATCTAAATTTAATTTAAATAATTATACAAATAGAAAATGAAGAAGAATTTTGATAAATTTTACAAGAATTATACATAACATATTTTTATGGAATATTTCATTATGGAATATTTGATTTTTTGTGATTTTAAGTATTTCCTGATTTTATTATATTTGTCATAATTATCTTTATTATTAATATTGTAACTCCAAATAATTTCATTTATTATTTTGATGATTTTTAATCGATTATCAAATAAAAGACAACAAAATAAAATATTCTTTATTTTCACAAATTCCTTTTTTGTCAAACATCGATTAGATTATACACGTTCTATATTGTCTTATTTTAATTGTCATCTCTGACAAAATTTGATAATTTATTAATCCCGGAATTGTAAAAAAAGTTGATTAATTAACTTGATCGAACAACTTACTAACCAACTGATAAGCTCTCTGACTGACTGACTAACTTAACTTAGCTCAACAACGAATGTAAGTGAAAAATGAAGAAGAAAAAGAATGAAGAAGTAGGGATAGGAAAGAGAGAACGACTACTCGTTTCGCATATATGATAGCAAAAGAATATTATATTACCATCACTATCGTCGTCGTTTGATGTCGATATGTCCAGAAAATATATTTTTTGTAGACCATTTGTTAGACCATTATTGGAATCATCAAACCTTATCAGGATGTGATTAATGTAGACTGAATCTGAATGATTAATGTATTGGCGGTTTCTTCTTCAAGGAGAATTTTATTATTTTAGTAGAGAATATTATTATGTAGAAAATGTATGTGAATAAAAAAAATGTCTTTTTTTATGCGAAAAACTAGCAGAAACACCGAAAACAATAAATTAGATAAATTTCTTTTAATTTGCTAATTTTTATAAATATATCAAATAGTTGCGCTCGAATAACAGAAGAGAGAATTAATGCAATTTTTTTAAATACAATGCTATATAAACTAACAAAATAAATCAATTAAATTAATTATATATCTATCTCATTTTAATACGATCTCGTTTTAATAAAAAAAAGAAAACAAAACTTCTTTATAAAAACTTTTAAGATAATTGTTTTAAGCTCAATAATACTTTTCACAAATTTTAGTGTTACTCTCTCTCTTTAACTTTCGAATTATTAAAATACGTTGGCATTGATTATCTCAGAAAGTCGAGTGAACGTAAATGGAAACTCGAGTAATTTCAGCACAACGGTTTAACTGCTACATACAGCTTTCACTGGATACGACATTTTTATCGAATCTTTCGTTTTCGTTCTACTTCGCGACGAATTAATGGTGATTGGCGCCGCAACTGGCCAAGTTAAATTGGATCTATTTTTTCTAAGAACAAGGCTTACGTTTTATTGCAAGGTCTCTGAAATTGTATATTGCAAAACGCTTCTCGCAATTTCTTGTCTTATTATTACAATACATAATCGTAATGAATGTAACTTCTTATGTGTTCTGACGAAAACTGCTATTTGAGTCACTTACATGGTACGCAAAAAATCTATCTGCGTATTTGATATCGATTGAGAAAAATTGTTTTTTTTTTTTTAGGATTTATTTATACAAATTATCCACTAATATTGACAGGAATATACAGCAACATCTTTCATTCTGGAAGACTTTGTTCTCATTTTTTGAGATAGAATATCGATAAAGAATATCTGAAGTCATATCAGAAAACATCACGTTAATGATAGGTACATGTCAATGCGCCGCATTTTTGCACGTTTACCGAGCGAAATCGCTGACGATTCAAGCAAAGAATGTACAAAACTATTACCGAACTTGTTTATATTGTTACATTTACTCACTACGAATTCAGCATTACTCGGTTTCATATTTTACTAATGACATGATAATAACAATAAAACCTTAACTCTTAAAGCCTCACGGAAACAACACACTTAGACATATCCAACCCAATTTAATTGTTTATTACTTTTATAAAAATAAACATATATTGTAATCAATTTTTTCTCAATCAAAACGAAAAACATTAGAAAACATAATGGTATCAAATAAATGTTAGGTATTTTTATTAATAAAAAAGTTATAAACAATCGAAAAAGTTATAAGCAATTGAAAAGATATTGGAAAAAGAAAAGAAAGAAGCTGAATATGTCATACTGAAAAGGCGTATTTTAGAGAATTAATGTGCATTTATATATATATATGTGTGTGTGTGTGTGTGTGCGTGTGTGTGTGTGTGTGTGTGTGTGTGTGTGTGTGTGTGTGTGTGTGTGTGTGTGTGTGTGTGTGTGTAAAAGTGCGGTATATTCTAACGTACTGCTTGACTAAACATTATATCACAATATTTCTATATTGAGATATTACCCTTTCTAAGAATCAACTTTGGCAATAAAATTTCTAAACTTAATTAATTTAGAAGACAAAGTAAAACATAATTTTTCGCCATTAATATGATTACATATAAAGTAGTTATCATTTTATTATATAAAACAAAATATTAAAATTCGATTATTCTATGTGCCTTGATAAGTAAAACACAAACGGTATTATCTGAAAAAAATTGATGGAGAGGAAAGCTGAATAAAAAGAAAAATATCTGTACAAAAAAAGTAAATTTTGTTTCCTTAGATTCTTTAAAATTATCATCTAATAAATTATAATCAATGACGTCTTCAATTATAAAAAAATAAATAAATTATCGCATTAAAAAAAAATGAAAAATATTGCTAATATTCTGTTAATGAATCTCTGTCATTTTTCTGGCAAGCTTTTCGGTAAAAACATATTATATTTTAACTATATAAGTTATACGAATTTAATCGAAATTAATAGTATTTTAAAGATACTCGATATCGAACATAATTCGTACAAAAAGTTTGCGGTACATTTATAGTCGTTTGAAACGGAAATGCTTCAGCTTTCATCGTGGATGGAGTTTATGATCGATCGACATCGAAGTTTACGCTGACGATCTAGTTAACGACTGCCATTGGCGATGATTACGCCATAACGATTTCGGATCGCGTTAAACGACTTAATCAATTGACAACTGCCGGAAGGATCCATCAAGACCAAATAAGTCGTCTTGCGTCTTTGGTTTACCTGGTCGTAAAGCCTCATTAGTCTTCATAGCTTCCTGCTCCGCGAACCAAGGTCCGTATTCCTCCAACTTCTTCGTCCACATATCTGAAAGGTAAAGAAAAAGAAATGATATTAGTTAGAGAAATCATCTTAAAGTCTTAAAGATATTTAAGTGTGATGTTTTCTATATTGCTATTTTAATAACCATTATTATTATACCTCGCTTTGATATTATATGTCGGATGTTTCACAAATTTAATAAAGAAAATTTAATATTTTTTTTTTCTCGAAGTACTCAAGAGACTAAAAAAAAAATTGTGTTTGAAATTAAAAATTAAGTTTCAAAATGCACTCTAAACCCCAAATAAATAGAAATAGTGAAATTGACATGCCATGTATATTCTGGATGGGTCCAGCATCGCCACCGTATTCGGTCGGCAATATCTCTCGAGGTACATAATCATATAGCGTCTTGATATCACTGTGCATGAAGATGCGATTGCGTATCTTTTCCTTCAGGAAAGGCTTGACAAAATTAAGGATTGTATCTACGAGTGGACTGATGTTTATCACGTGCACTTCCTTCAGCTTCACCGGATATGCTTCCATCACGCAGACCAAAAATTTCTTCACTATAGGTGGTGTAAACTTGGCAAAATGTATGGGCGTCGCGACGGCAGCGTCAAGAATATAAACGTCGCCAGCCACACCGTGTTCTTCCTCCTTCAGACGAATGTCGCCGATCATGAACACTATCTTTAATGATAATAATGCCTGTTATTCTGACATCATAATACGAAATATTACATAAAGTATCGACGTGAAATAATTTTTAAAAATCATCGAAATCGATATAGTGAATTCAATTATAAACACTGTAAATATAAAAAGAATTAAGAATTAATAACATGATAATGTTATTTATGAACAGCAGACTAAATACCGAAATAACACTAGTAAATGTATTTTTTAAGCATTAATACGAAAAATTGTGTTGTAAATAAAATTGATCTTATTTACAACACATTATTTACAAGATCTTTCATTTTTAAACATAACAGAATTTTACTGAAGAAAGCATTTCTGAAGCCACGCATAGTTTTGCTGAAGTATCTAAAAATTTAGCTACATACAGGTCTGAAAATAATTTTTTTAACCATCCAAATAGTTATGCATAACGTTCAAGTTGCTTGCTAGAACATCAAAATTTTTGAAGCACTGCTCATCATACTTGAATGTTCTACATAATTATCTTGATAGTGATAAAATTATTATAAAATTTGCAATTAAATTTTTAAATACTTCAACAAAACCGCTGTTTCCGTATAGCCAAATGTCTGTACAGTTTTGTCGAAATAAAATAAACCGCAATAAACCTTATACCTTCATAATTTCTGATATATTGGGAGTTGGTACGTCCTTATCGATTCCTCGCATGACGATCACTCTACATCCCTTGTGCGTCAAGCCTGACAAAGGAGGTATATGTCTGCAGGAAGGAGACAAAGAGGTTACCGTTTAGATAGAGGAGCATCGTTTCTTTCCGAATTTCGATATCTTAAACTATCACCATATGTATACTATGTACAATTGCGAGATCCTTACATAAGCTTTATTATTTCTTGCAGCGCCGGCCTTGTGATGTCACGATTGGAGAAAAATTCGGGGACTATTGCGCGCATCGTGAAGTACATGTCTAGTTTCCGTTTGCATTTCTCCAAAGAAAACTTGCACCCGCGTAAAAACGTCATTATTCTTTGATCATCTAAAAAGAGATAAGATTATATCATGATGACTGTATGTCTATTATAATAATTAATTTAAAAAGAATCTATTTAAAGCCTACTTTAGATGATCTATACAATTCATGTCGGAATTTAAAATAGAATTCTAAATATTTAAAGAAAATGAATGTATTAAAATAAAATGAAATATAAATTAAAATAAAATATATACTAAAATTTTATAATATATGTAAAAATAAGCGGTATGTAAAATTATATAAATAAGATTTTATTCTAATATCCTAAAATTTTATGCAGATTGTAATAAGTTGCCTTCGCGATTATATAATTGTCATTTAACATATATTTAACAAAAATTTCATATACCATCGAACTTGGGTAAATGCGGCTGCTTAGCGAGCCATTCTTTGATCATTTCGAGATCTTTATCGCGCGTTGCTACATTCTCATTCAATTCCACTCGTATCTGCTTGGACATTTCCTCCGTAGGTTGTATCAGCAGCATCTACAAACATAATCGCAATAAGAAAGTAGGAACATACCTATATATGACATCAAACATAGGCAAACAAATTCGTGGATTCCCTATAACCGAGAATTCTTACAATAAAAAAATATAAATATGTGTACTCTTTTCAGGATTAGAAAGCGTAAAATTAAATTACTTGCAAAATAAATCCAACATCGTCCCGACCGTATGCATAATGCCTATGACTCCTTTTTGGTTACACGTGTTATGCGCGTAATGTGCACTACAGGGATTGCACAACTGGTTGAGATACCCATCGTTCTTATGTCAGGAATTAATGCTGACCAAAGCGGCTTGCTCAACGCGAACTTTCTCTAACTCGTCGCGGCTTCGTACGTAAAAGCCGAGAGAATGTTTCTTAATCTTTATCCCTTCTCGTTTCGGGAACGGCGGTATTTCGAAATTCATTTTTTATGACCCATTTAATCATGAAAAAATTTATAAATTCATATTCTTGCAATTATAGAAAACTATAAATTTATTCTCCTCGCCATACAGAGCTCGAGAACAAAATACTTATTTAAAGAAAATAAAAAAAAAAAAGAAATTTGAAACTGAAAAAAGACAAAGTGAAAAACAAAAGATTTTTTAAATTAGAATAATTATGGCGCAAGCGCTCTTGATCATCAGATTACTATCGCTATTATCTTTTTATAAAGCACAAGAAAATTGGCAAGTGTGAAAGTCTGTAAGTATTCAAAAAATTATTGACAAGCTTAGAACATTATCTAAGCACAGCAACGTTTGCAAAGTGATAAAAATGCGCTTAAATATATTCTTTTTAGTACTTTTTTAACATTTTGTAGATACTATTGTGTTACTATTATCTCTACATCAAATTGTAATTGAATACAAAAAATTATAATTTGAATATAATAGAAATGAAATTTATAATAATGTCAAATTAGTAGGAAAAAGAGAAAAAGAAAGAGAGAGAGAAAGAGAAACAAAGAAGATCTGATTTTGAATTTTAATTAAACATCAAAGGTTTAAAAAAATTTAATAGTAATATATAATTCTAAAGATTTAGGAAAATTAATATTTAAATAATATTTAAGGAAAAAAATTAATTTATAGATTTAAATCTGTTCTCACAAATATAAAAGATCTTCAGTTTTTAAATTTATAAATATTCAACATTCTCATATGATTATTTGATGTATTTATGATACAAAATTAATGTGTCGTGTCTGCAGTATATCTGCAATATATATCTACAGACGAGTAAAAAATGCAATATAAACGAAGAAAGGAAAGGCGTATAGGAAAAAATGTGTATATAAATGAAGACAACCTGAATTCTTAAAAAGAATTACCTTGTAAAAAAATTAAAGAAAAATTCGAAGAGTTAAATAAGACATTGCGAATAATAATTATGATTTCGCGTTAAATTTGAAATGTACAATCTCTTTTCTTTTTATTATATTTTAATAAATATTAAGCATGATATTTAATTCTCTATAGGTCCGGGTAATTTTCACGCCATACTAATATATCGATATACATACTAATATATTTTATTATAACATATTATAATATAATTATAATATATTTATTTAATTTCTTACCGCAAGGTGAGACATATCTTGTTATATATAATGTATTTTTAATAATCAATAACATTCTTGATAGCGATATGAACTTTAATCTGAGATCGAAGTAAACTCAAGCAAAACAAATCATAGCAACATCAAAATGAATCGGAAATAATTGAAAAATGACTTTTAATGATTATTTTTGATCATTTGATGATTTTGACATCATTTTGATTTCATAATTTGTTGTTCTGCTCGGGAATGCTTTTGCAAGCAAAACAAGTCATTATGATATCAAAATGATGTCAAAATGACTTCAAAATTATTTGAATTATTGAATTAAAAATTTTTCAATCATTTCCGATTCACTTTAATGTCATTTTATCTGCAAATAGATATAATTTGTATTTACGTTGATATTTGTTGATTTACACGTTACATAATTTTTTTTATAGTCATGAAAAAAATGGATCCTTAGAGATAATTTAATTGAATGTAACTTTATAATATTGTGTAGTAATATTAACGCGATATGATACGCATGCAAAATGATCCCGACTGAGTGTTTCTCAGATGATTTTCATATATGTTATAAAAAAGAGAACCAAACTTACCTTGACCGATGTGTAACACGATTTGCAGGCACAGACAGACACTCAACGATCGCAAACGATGACTTTCAGATACTTGCAGAAAGAGAAATGATCGGAGCCGCGAACTCGAGAGACGGCAAATGAACAACGGAGTGGGAACGATTACTTCTCGTGCGTGGACCGGTTCTCCTTTATACCATAGGGACGCCCCACTCTTTGCTTGTTACAGTATGTCGTAAAAAGAAAATCTGATTGATTAGCAATTTTTTAGGCAAATTTTACCAACAAATTAGTCGAGCTCTGTTGATTCATGGGAGATAGTCAGAAGAAATCCCGTTTATTTCGTAAAAGAATATACATTTTAAACGATATCAGAGACATTAAACAGAGCAAAACAAACATTCATATATCATACAACGTCTGTGTGCGTCCCAAAAATAATAGGCTGAAACTAGAAATTTTATAATATAAATAATATAAAGTTGTTTGTTATAAAATTATATTCAAATTTTAGTGATTTTATACAAAGAATTTAATATAAAGATTTATTTCTATCTATATGAGGAAGAGATTATTAATTTAATTTTCAATCTTATTAAAGGGGAGTCCAAATTAAGCCAACAGCTAATACTACATATATATACACATGTATAATTATTCATATAAATGTAGATCAATATTTAGCGAGTGCAATGCATAAAGTTGACGTACATTCATCATGATGTTTGACATCAGCTAAAAAAAGTTAATAGTATATGTATAATTCAAAAATACATGATAAAAGTACATAATTTTTTATTTATTTATATGCGAACCGCTTAAAGACGCGTTGATCGATTCTCAGAAGAAAGTTTCACATTTTATTGTTTATCAGAGCAAAAAAAGATGAATCATGTACGCACTAAAGCAGTCAGGCGCGCTCATCAGGCGAGAATTTTCATGTTATATAAACGTTACAATTTCATGAGTTTCTAAAATCATGGAATTATATTAAAGTTAGCTATCGTCATTCCCCGGTAAGTAATTGCAAAATTATTGTGATTGCATATAATGAGTAAATAAATTCACAGGTATACGCCGTGTATATTCTCCGTTTTTCGTCGAAATCCATTATTAAGAATGCTAATGCTTTTATCTATCGTCCACTATCTGAAAAAGAACCATATACAATTACGTATATAAAAAAACTGTTCTTGTATTGATTTAATTAATGTCTCAGAAAAGTGGGACAAAAAATGTCGACAGTTCTTTCAGTAAAGTATATATTCATATAATTGATTATATTACTATACACGTGAAAAAGTTAAAAAACGTCATATTAACGATTATTATCTGTAATTAACGATTATTATTCTTATTATTAGAAAACCCTCTGTGAATGCATTGGTTACCACTGCTAAGTTAATGGCCTAGCATAATAACTATACGATTGATATCAACATTACATGCACAATTAGTCATATGAATATAGGCTATTATTTAGTGAATGTGTTAGCGTTAGAAAAAACAGTGAGAAAGAAATAATCGTGACATATTTCAGAAGCTGCTCCAGTTATTTTCTATGTACAATTTTTATATAAAAAAAAGGACAAAGTGACAAAAAAGAAATGACAAAAAATATTACCTTTTTTTTTCTTTAATGTGAAGAGAAAAAGAGGGAAGATAAATCATTTAAAAAGTTCAGCTGAAAAGAGCAAGTTCAGTATTCAAATATAAACGATATAATGATCAAATCGGAAAAACGATATAATTATGATATAATCTTCTTTTTTTTTACACGCATGTTTTATATAATTTCTAATCGCTCTGTACATATCATCAGATCAATCTAATTAAATATGTTTTACTACACAATTTATTAACAAATTGTTTTCGTATATTTATAACCAGGTAAGATTTATAAGATTAACGAAATTTTCTTCAAAAAAACTCGGATTATTGGTAATGTGTGATTATGATAATTAACACAAACAAAATCGCAAGTCTTTGTTTTTGCGAATAATTAATAATTCGCAAGAATTTATTATTGACTTTCGCACAGATAATCGTACACTCAATTCTTTATTATATTCACTTCCGAGTGCATAGAATCACAAGCTAACTGACACACGGCTGCACTCACTCATGCCCTCGTCTTACTTTCTTTCGCGGATACGTTGCGCCGTTGTTGTTGCACCAGGGTACGATTACGCGAGTGGCGACCGTCATTTTGAACCGAAAGATTTCGCGTGTGTATGAAATTACCGGTTGCAATTTCATATACATTCGCGTGAGATTTTGTAATTGACTGGAACTAGTAAGACATGTTTAGACACGCGGTGAACCCCGCACAAATATACGAAACTAGTCAATCCTGCCTTTTTTAAATTGCTAATAGTAGATTAGAGTTTGCTTTTTTTGGATTAGACAGCATCACAAATTAGAAATTAATTTTCCTTTGGAAAATTCTGATGCTATCAGAGCAATTACTCATGTATCGCACAGGTACAATTTATTTGTCAAAGTTTATTCGTGGATTTAATTGTAATATTATAACAACGTAACATCGTAATTTTCTTTTCTTTCGAAAGCCCTATTCAAATATTATCTCTTATAATGCTTTTTCAAGAAAATATTATAAAAATTGTTAATTCTCATCTATATTGAGTAAAATATAGAGTAAATAAAAAAAAAGATAAAGAAATAAAAACATATACAGACGGAGTACGAAATATTATGTCTATATTTAAGATGTGGCCTTGGCGAGGATTGAAGTCATGGTATCGAGAACTGTACTGAGATCATAGTATTGTCTTCAATGAAGCCGAATATTTCTTTGTATTTTTTCATATAATTATTTCTCTTCAGTGTTTATGGTGTTCTAAACAGAAGATACAAAGTCATTTCAGAAAAGTCATTTTTATCCCAAAAATCAATATACATATTTCCAAATCAGATTATTAAAAATTTGAAGGCTAATTCTTATTGAAAGTCTTTGCTATTAATAATTTATATTAATATTTCAGTTGAATATAATATAACATAAAATTTATACAAACATAGAAACCTACTTTGACGTAGTGCCATTCAGTTTATCCGTTTTCTGTACAAAAATGAAATATAATTAATGTATTTTAAATCATTACATTTTATTTAATTAATTATTTCTTTATTTAATTTTATATTAATTTAATTAATTGCTCTTGTATTTAGCAAAAAAGCATTATTATTGTTATTTAAATATATGTCAAATATATATTTATAAAATTATATGCTCTACTTTTATTACGTATTTTAAGATGTAAAATAATTTGTACAGTTATTGAATATATATTTATTAAATATATAAACAATAATATTAAAGTAAACTGCGACACAGATAAACAAGCATTATCATTATTTATTAAGACATAATTGGTTCACTTTACCAGTTTTTCAATATCCATGTTTCTAACAACTCGCTTTTCCGCTGGCAATTCTTGCGAAATGATTCCAGTTGACAAACGTAACTCAATCGGAATATCGCGTCTTTGTCGATTCATACATTCGGTATCAAAACAATTGCTTGTAATTATAGCTTTTTTTATTAGAATTGGTAGCTCATCAATAACTCTTGCTTCCCGAAAAATTCGACAATTCGGTCCTTGTGCAGCAAATGAAACGGGTATTTGATCTCCAACACAGATTTGCGTTATGATTAAAAGAGTGTTTTTCAGAGAAGTCTTCATTGATTTAAAAAAAACATTATAAGCTTATTAATATTTACAAAAATTAATAATTATTTTTTATGTTTTCATTTATTATTATTTATGTATTTCTGATTTTGATTAAAATTTAATGAAAATACTCAAGTAAAAAAAAAACTACTAAACTATATTTTATATGTCTCTGAATTTGCGAGTCAAATCTGATGATTTTATTGACGCAATGATTACTTCGCGTTGAAGAAGATCAACAGCGGCGGCTCCTTCACTTCTCGGCACAACGGCGACTAACATGTAACCTTTATCGTTTGGAATAGATTTCAGCTCTCTGATGGTTTTATCGATTAAATTAATCGCAGTCGATTGAAGAAAGGATTGTTTGCGCGATGAAAATTCATTCTTGGACACACCATCGTTCTTGTGCAATGATTCAAGTAGAGAACGAAAAAAAGCCATTCTTATTTTGGACAATATATCAAAAATATCCCATGTGGTATCATAATTTATATCTTCTGTAAATAAAAAATTTGTTTCTTTTTTATCTTTTCCTTTATTTTATTAGATTTAATTAAAGCTAATTAAAGATTATATTTTACGTCAAAATGACTAAAATGTCAACTTGTTATATTTTGTGTGTGTACAACATATATATCTATTTTTATTTACACTTAGGATTAAAATAATCAAAATCTAATTTAATATATCATCCGAGATATTATTTTATATCTTATATTTTATATCTCGTATTTGGAATTATCTTTAAAATTATCAGAATTTCATGTTTGTTTTTTACTGTCTTTTTCTTATTTTTCTTAATCTTTAATTAATGTTATCTGTTATGAACCTTTTCATCTTTATTATATTCATGTAAAATATTTTTTTTAATTATATCTACTTCTGACTCACCGTCTGTTTTTAAATCTTTGGTAATCAAAGGAGAAACGGAACTCGTCCGGTCACTAAGATCGATCACTTGCCAATCGTCGTTGGAATCGCGTTTGCTTTTACGCAATTCTAACTTTGCATTACTCTTATTGGAGCTAGATTCATATTTAGGAAAAAATGGGATCGAGAAGTTGCTACTGGAAACTGCACCTGTTCCATAAAATCAAATTAAATTAGTAATTAACTTAAGGAATGTTGGAAGAATACATTATTTAATAAAGAAAGACATTTTTATATATAATATTTTTTAATATTCTCTTGTGTTAATATTTTTAAAGATTTCAATACATAAACTTGCACAATAATTTATGCATTTTTTTTCTTTTTCAAACCTGTTGTCATTCCTCTCGTGTGTGTTGCCCAGGATAACAATTCTTCGATATTCGAGAGAAGGATACGCTCGCAATTGCAACCTTTTTCTTTTTTTTCAGAAGTAGACGCATTATCCATAGAGAAATTAGCATTCTCGATTTTATCACGGCAATTCTACGATATAAATTTTATTTAACACAACTCGAATTTAAACTATCCAATGTAAATAAGCTTAAAAAAGATTGTATGTACATAGTAAAGATTACATATATAAAATAAAATTGTAAAAACTGAATTCTACAGTTCTTTCTTTAAATTTAATATATTTAAAAACTCGTCACTTCCTCATAGTGTCACATTTTTATCAAACTATTAATTATTTTGTAATATTATATTTAATAAAAATACTTAAATATATATATATTTTTTTTCGCAAGAACATGAGTTTATTTTGTACTTATTATTATTGAGTGTAGAAAAGAAAGTTAAAGAGAGTTAATGAAAGAAAAATTTGTTCTATAGATGTTCAATTTTCTATCAAATTATCCGACATAGAAATGATTAATGTAATTATAGGAAAGTACTTGAAGAAGTCCTTCAATCGCGAAGGGCAGTCTTTCTTTATAATCTTTCCACGAATTCTCTTCCTTTTTCTCATGGTCTCTTTCATCGATCAAGAGTAAAATGATATTTCGAGGAGTAATAACAGCATTAATGTTTTCTTCAGAAGAATCAGAAGCGTCGTTCCTCATTGCCGATGCTATTTCATTGATAGGTTTCATTTCGATGAGTTTCATCTCGACTTTTTCGGTTGTTGATTTCTTCTCGCGCGTCTGATTTTCTAGCATATTTTCTGATATTTTCGTATCTTCAGTTTGCAAGATCCTATTCATACCAGTTACCTGCATCTCTTTCATTGCAGGGTCGACAAATACTCTTTGATAAGTGTCCAAGGACGGTGCCGTGTCCCATGCAGGCGGTACAAACACTACTATTGAGTTGTGACATACATTATTAGTCAATATGTATAATAAATGTTCTTAGAAAAGCGTATTTAAATAATTTACGCATTGCTGTATATTTTTTTAAAACAAAGAAAAAAAAGAAATATCACGACAGTAAGTAAAAATATAATCTAAGATAGCGAGCCTATAAAAATAGTGATAAAAGCCGAAAATCAAATAAATAATTATGTTTACACGTCACTATTTAATCAGATTTTAATAACATCCGTAGTTTATACCAATATCAATAATTAATTATTAATTATTGACATAAAATATTAGATATAAGAATTTCTTGATGCTAATCATATAAATGTTAATTCAATAACAACTAATGTTTTTAAATCAGATTTTGTTAATTGGTATTTAAACATAGTTAGTCATTGGCATTGACATTTATAGTCAATTCTTATAATTAAGTCGTCTTTAAGTATAATTTTAATATATCCATAAATTATAGAGTATTAGCATTTTAAGCATCTCATTAGTTACTGTTGTAAAATTTATTAGTGTAAAAAACAAGAACCGGTTATGAATAAGTTGACTAAATGATTGATACATGTTTACACTTTGTCATAAGTTACAGTAACAAATATGACTATTCAAATGAAGCGAAGATGAAAGCAAAGATTGATGCGATACCTGCACGATCCATCGTAAATCCGTAGGAGCACGTCATCAGCGACCACAACATTAGAACAAAGATACCGAAACGTGACATGACGACTTCTGCTAACAAAATTAATTAAAAAATTTTCACTATATCGCCATTAGATTATCCACATGCACGTATTTTTATAATACATCACTCACTTGTAATCAATTCGCGATTGGATTTTTATAAAAAAAGACTTTGTGGAGAGCAATACAGTTTAATTCTAGATCGTTGCTCAATCTCGATAATTGCTACATCCGCCTTGTTTTCTTCCCAAAAAAACAATTAGATTGCGCTGTCGCTAATCAACAAAATCGGTTGCCCGAACGACCAAAGGAGTATTTTATAAGTTACATGAAGTTCTCTTATTAGAATTATTTTGTAGTGATAAAAACATCACAATTTGCAGATTTCTGATTTACGTAAAATCATGTCATGTGAATCCAAAGAGTATTTAAATCCAAATATGTATTGATTATTTTATCAATCATTGCATTCATTAACAAGTTTGAACAGGACATCCTTTATCCGAGAAACATCCTGAGAACATTTATGGATGTTCAAAGGCGTCCTTTGAACGTCCTTTGAATGTCTTTAGGATGTCCCTTGAAGCGCATTCAGATTCCTACTCGAGTACTTCCCAGAGTATTTATTCTTGTTTAACATTCGGTGAACAACAAGAATAAAATGATTCTTGGTACTCGGGTGAGAATTTGAAAACATCCCTAAATGGAAAAAGAACTTTCGCGTTTTAAATGAAAGATTAAACTATCTAGGTATAAGTGCCATCAATAACTTCTTCAATGGTAATCTAATTTTGACTTATTCGTTGTATCAGCACAAAGTATCATTAATCGACCGTCGCATCGGTCGTAATATCGCCCTAAATAATGAAGGATTCCTTACTATGTACTATCCATGTAAGTTGCGGTGCGGCACTCGTTTTAAGTCAATATGTGACATATTTAATCGTTGAGGCTTACATAGGTCACACTCGACGATAAAACTAAGCCCGATTTATACTATTTGTTTTACGTCATTCGTTTCGTATGCGCTCGTACTTTACGAATCATTTATTTTCATCGACTCTCCTATGATGTATGTGATGAAAGTATCCTGATAAATTACATCTCATTTGCGAGAATTTACGTACATTTTTCAACATAGATTTTGCGTGTTGAAAGAGAGTGATTTTCCACAAAATTTATCAGAGAAAATTGACTCCATCCAAATCTGTCAAATCAAAATTATTCTCTGAAGATAATTTTGCATATTAATTAAAAAAAAATACTAGAAATAGATCCTTAAGATATATAAAATTGATATATATAAAAATACAATAATTAATTTGTAAATATTTTTAGGAAAAACATGAAATTTTGTATGATAGAAAGAAGATAAGTTGATAATTTGTAATAGCTACAATACGCAAACTAAACTTTTTATTTAACATCAATACAATCGTGAAAGTAAGAAACGAGAGGCATTATCTTCTAGCTAATAATTACTAACATTAACAAAAGAATCGTAATAAGGGTCACAAAGATTCGCAAAGTGTTCTAGAATAATATTCAGAAAATCGACATTGCGCGTTGATATACGGCGATCTTAGCGGAAGTTTCGTTTCACCAGTTGCTAACCCCTGCTCTAGACATCTTGAGACTTTAGATTGTTTTCTTCGTAAAACTTTCTTTACGTTGAAAACTACACGGAGCATAGCGGTGGTGTACTAAATTATTAAGAAGATTATAGATCCCCGTGCAACTCGGGGACGACGTAAGAAGCGATATGGCGTCGGAAGAACGTCGCGCAACGCGACGAAGCGGTTTGCGCCTGGTTACCGGGCCCCGATTGGTCCACGTTTGGTACCTACCCCACTGGAAGGGGTTTCACATCGACGGAGTAGTGGTAGCGGTCAGGTCATAACCAGGGGGTTGAACAAGAAGGCAGAAGTAGAGGGTACCTGGGCCTCGGCCGGAGAGATAAGATCATTCGCAACACAAAACCGTTTGTGCCATAAAACGACGACTGATGGCAGGCCGGCTAGTTAGTTTGCTCTTCTTCGTTCTTCTGATATATTTGGCAAGATTGCTGCAACGTAATCGCGAGGCGCTGAAGGCCGCATCATAAATTGGTCGCGGAGTTCCGATTGAATTTTTCGCTTTTGGACATCTGTAATCTTGGATAGTTAAAGCAATCAAGGTAGGGTCTTCGCTCTTACTTCAAAACAGGTACTTTCTGAACAAAAACGTGAAAGTTCAAAAAAGTATCCGAAAAATGTAAAAAGATTCGGACATCTTTTATTTATAAATACGAAAATACAGCGCATGCCTGGAGAAACAGGAAGCTTCTGTTCGAGTCTTGTATTGTTTGATGATGAGTTAGAAAAAACTCTAAAAACTACCTAGAAAAGTCTTATCAATTTTTATAATTGTAATTTATATATCGCGATTTACATTGTATAAAAAACACATTAATTAGCGATATATTGGATGCAAAAGAAGAATTATAAAAGTTTCATTTACATAACTACTTTGTGATTTCATGCGTATAGTCATTTACATAATAACTGCCTTGTGACAAATAATACAAATCGTGTTTTTTTACGCGAAATAAGAACCTATATTAAAAAATAGCTACATATTTATATATATGTAAAATATATGTGAACTATGTTATTAAAATTCTTGTAATTTAAAATATATTATTCTTTTGAATTATGAAATATTTACTTGACAGTCGGTGTCCGCCGTATTTATTTGAATCAATAATATTTTTTTAAAACAACAACTTTTTTCTAAGTGAGCGAATTTTAAAGTTGTCAACGAATTTTAATGACAATTCCACGAAAAGAGCGTTTGATAATTTAATAATAAATTGTCAACTCGTGTAATTTGCTCGCAGATGATGAAGATGAAGCAACAGGGCCTAGTGGCCGATCTCATGCCCAATATAAGGGTTATGAAGATGTTTGGACATTTCGTATTCAACTATTATGACGACAATTCGTCCAAATACTTGCATAAAATATTTTGCTGTGTAAGTAATCACGAGTTTCCACATATAATACTGTTAGATAAAATTTTCGCCAAATAACAAAATTTAATTTCGTCTGATCAAATCGAAGTTATCGACATTCTTTAGCCTGAATTTGATAATAATATTTTGATAAGATATCTAATAGCTTTAGGTCTAATAATTTTAACAATCAATACCATTAAAATTAATAATTCATATCTGTGAGTAAAGATCCTTTAAATCGTACATGCACGTCGTAAAAACTATTTTTCTAGGCAAACCTATTTCTGTTGCTGTTACAATTCGGCCTGTGCGCAGTGAATCTGATCATCGAAAGCGCCGACGTCGACGATCTCACGGCCAACACAATTACTCTCCTTTTCTTCACGCACAGTATCGTCAAGATCGTTTATTTCGCTATCAGGAGCAAGTACTTTTACAGAACGTGGGCGATATGGAACAATCCGAATACACATCCGCTCTTCGCCGAGAGCAATGCGAGATACCATGCGATCGCTTTGAAGAAGATGAGACTGCTACTCTTCTTGGTCGGCGCCACAACCGTGCTCACTGCGATAGCTTGGACTACTCTTACTTTCTTTGAACACCCGATTAGGAAACTCGTAGATCCAATTACGAATGAGACGACAATTATTCAGGTAATAATTCAAATTTATAAAATACATATTTTCCCTCAACAAGGAAAATTAAAAATTAT